TATAATTGCAGATTAGGAAAGGAGATTGCATCAATAATATGCATATGTGTTTGAATATAAAGCATATGTATCCTCTACCATGGAGCTATTTACAGGAAAAAAGTTAAAGCTTCACTTGAACTTGGTTTGATTCAACCCCATGTAATCCAGGCCCGTAGCCAGGATTGCCAAGGGGGTTCAGTTTTCAAAAATATCCAGGGGGTTCACATTTCAGAATTTTGACTCAAAATGGTGAAAAACTGCATGATTTTGAAAGAATTTTTGGCCAGGGGGGGGCTTGTCCGAACCCTGCGAACCCCCATCCCCTGGCTACGGGGCTGTAATCCTTCTTGACATACCTTACCCTTACCTCAACAAGGGGGGGGGGGCAGTAGATGAAGGGATCCAAAGATGTGATGCAAGTAACCCTTGCTTAACCCCTTTACTTCACCACCATAACAAGGGTTTGTAGATGGGGGGGGGGGGGTAGTTTGAAGCATTGGTTTTCAAGCCCGTGGTTGAAGCTAGACCAGTTCCCATGAGCAAGGCCCTCAACAGGCTGTCTCTGTTGGATTAGGCTTGTATCTTGCAACAAACCATGATTTGCACTGGTCTTCAAATCTGTGCAATTCTTTCCTTGAGAAAATCAGCTTCTGAGTTCTTCAAGAAAATTTCCAATATATTGATCCCTGATTGTATTGTATCGTAACACTGCATTCTGTTATTTATTGGGAACTGAATTATTGTAAGTGAATTAATAGTTCTTAGTAATATTGAATATTTGTCCAGTAATTGCTCAACAAGAGCTAACTTAGTCTTACAACTTATACAGGCTGATTGCCATGAATGAAACATAGAATAGTGAAATTAACTTGGAAAATTAGACATGTTACACTTGCCTAATAAATCACCATCCCTTTCTGAATATTACAGCATTTTGAAAATTATGATATTGTGAAGTCATAGAAATATGTACCATGGATATCGTAGGATAAATCCTGTATCCAGAACCCGAGCTGAACACCCCTCATTAACCTCTTGACTACCCAGAATGACGAGATTTCTCGTCACCTTAGAAATGACCTTGAAACCCAGAGGGACGAGAAAATCTGTCACAAAATTTTTCACAAAAATTGCTCTTATTTGAACAATTTTCATCCAATTTACACAAAAAGTGTTTTAAAACGTATAGAAATGATCTCTGCCATTTAATTTTACTAAGTTGAGCATCTAAAGTTGTATAGGTATGTAGTAAAATGTCAAAAGGTGGCAAAAATGAAAAATTCTCTGGTTTCTAGCAATTTTAGAGCCTGGGATTCAAGAGGTTAAATAATCTTTTAGGTACAAGGGGCGATCCATATATTCTGATAAAAATCTCACATGGGATAACTTTATGAGATTAACATTGAAGGAGCAGTCTGATACTCATAGCATCTCCCCGGGAGCATCTCTCTCTGTTGCACCCCAGACGCATCTCTCCAGAAGGATAGAGATGGAGATCGCGTGGCTTACCAGCATGTTGAAGGAGGGGAGTTGAGTTGATTTGTACAAAAATCATTAGTGAGTAAATATTTAAGAAAACAAATAAATTATTGAAAATGTTAATGTACTACAATACATTTATTTACCTAGGGGAGGTCACCGGCATATTTAACTAAGGGGTCTTATTTGACCAAAAGGTATTATTTGTCTAAGGGGTCTGCATAGAGATGCAGAGGGTGGGAAATAAATATATGCCATTTAATCATTGAGGAATTTGATAAGCTGCTTAAAATTTTCTAGGACTTTCGAACCAAAAGTAAACTTACCTTGTGAATTGTAATCTACTTTTGCTTGAATGTTCTATGAATTGAATGTGAATTGTTCAGTCTGAGAAGTTTAAAATATTTGAAGGTGCATAGTAATTTTCAACTCAACATGAATCAAATCGATGTTATATTTGTTAAAGTTTGAAGCTTGTTCCCTCTTGAGATCTCAGATATTTCACAATGAAATATGAGGTCATCGTATTAGATATATCATCATTGGAATTTATCAAATTCTAGGCATTGAGACATTGAAACTAAGGTAGGTGTGATAAAATAATGATGTCAGGTATGCATCAAGACCAGACCCTGTTCGTACCCCCTCCATTCTTTTCGCTTATTTTTGAGGAAAGGGGGGTTGGCTCTTGATGGGACATGATGACACCATCAGATTTGCTTTAAGTGTTTGACACCCTGCTACTGTATAACTTTCTTATGAAGAAAATTAAGGATGGGTGGGTGGGGAACAGTTAACCTGCCTGTTGAAATCTGTAGATCATAAGTAAATTCTATTGAGAGGGGGAGGGGACAGAGGCAAAGGTGTAGAGGCAAGGGGGTACAGATTGAGGGGCAGGATGTTAATGAGTACATAATCCTTTGACTTGTTACATCAGTACTGTCACTGGGATAACATATTATAGGGATTAGTCTGGATTAGGATTAAGGATTATCACCTGTATGTGTCAAAGCTTGTGTTCTGACCCTTGTCTGAAATACCTCCTTGGTCGTGCCTTTTTATGCAATTTCTCTCACATTTACTCAAAGTGTAACAGTTTGTTTTACATATCTATACAACATAGAGTATGAATTTCATGTTCATTCATGTTATTCCTTGCTAATTATACTATTTCACACTATGTTTTGTATTCTTTAACGTGACCACCATGTAATTTTCATTCAGGGTTATGTTGGTTGATAGATTGCTACATGTGCCAACTAATTGGTACATCCTTTCATGATGATACTAATCACAAAGATAAGGACAGTCTTGCTGAACAGGGTACATGCCAGAATATTTAGGAATTGGTCAAGATTGTATCTGAGCTGCTTTATATTTATATACAAGCTGGGCATTCTTTGAGGCTTATATACAGCATTTAAGAAGAATTTAGAAATGTTGTCAATGTGGGAATTTGGATCAAAACAACAATATACGAAAAAGTTTAAAAGAAAATTTCTTAGAAAGTTTTACATCTAGTTCCTCTCCCTGAAATCATTCATTTACTCATTGCATCTCCTTTCAATCTTCGAGTCCAAATCGAGAGATCACATATAAAATTCAAATGGAATTGGAAAAATAGAGTTAGTGGTTGAAGACCAAAGACTGGATAGATTTTGAAAGTACAAATTGCAACATACTAAGACCAGAGATAGCAAACCCCCAAGACCATATCAACTGGTTAAATTACTAATCAAACTAGCTATCTAGTACAACAGTCATAAAAACAGGCCTTGTTACAGGCTACAATATCAGATGTACTTCAGACTGTCACTTTAGTAAAAACAAAAACAAAGCTTAGCTATAAATCAAAGCCTATGTTATCTGATATGTTCTTGGAAGGTACTAAGCTGACTTCACCATCAATGTTGAATTAAAAAACCTAATCCACTCTGCCGCCATTTCTGATTTTATTGTCTTAATCAGATAAGGAACGGACAATTGTCTACTGAAAATCAAGGGTAATTTTTTGTTTGAAAAGGAGGGGGGGGGGGGTGGTTAATGATAATTTCTTTCAAATTAACATTGTTTTTTCACCAATGTTGACATTTAGACATGATCCCTAAAAAGGTGTGTCTTTCTCAATGTATAAAACTAGGTCAATTTTGCAGTCATTGTAATTGTGGTTCTCTCTTTAGTTGAAAGTGGTTAAAGAGACCATATACATATTAAAGGATCACAACCAAAGCTCAGTTTATGTATACAGGTTTGAACAATTGAACACAACAGGGGGGAATGGGCAATGGTTCAACCCCCTATTTTTTACCACATATTTTTGGCAAGTTGCTATATAATTTACCCATTGACATTACCCACTTTTGTTTGGATCATTTCAAACTGTTTCATTTTGTGCTATTTTTAACAGCTAACACATATTTAACATGTATAATCATGAAATTTTTATTGACTCTTTTTAGAGCGACAAATTGTATAGAATAACCAACAATAGAGTATGACATGACTGCTTATTAGTTTATTGTAGAGAGTTTAGTTGGCATGTGAGCATTTCATACTTGTATACTACATACAGTACTATTTCTTAATGAAAAGGGATTGGGAATGGGGACAATAGGTATCACCTTGAGAACAGCCAGGCCCATAGCCAGGATTTGCCAAGGGGGAGGGGTAATTTTTTCAAAAATTCCAGGGGGTCACTTTTGACAACTTAGACTCAAAATGGTCAAAATCACCTGAAAAGTGATCAGAATGGTGAAAAGTGCATGATTTTGAAAGAATTTTTGACCAGGGGGAGGCAGTTCGCTTGAACCTCCTCTGGCTATGGGCCTAACAGCATTGTCAGTGAATGTAGAGGGACATGATTCATAAAACTGTTCAATGTGTCAAATTGGTTTAAGATGCCTTCGATTATGACTTCTTCAATCAGGAAACATAATCTGGTTTTATAATTGGATAATGATGTATTTTCTTGTTTTGTTTGCTGATAATCTGTGCATTCGTTAATGGGCTATTGTTAAATTCATTGTTATACATATTGCTTCCCATAATACAGCACTATAAAATTCTATGTTCAAGTAAAATTCCCACATTTAGGTTTATTTCGGTCATTCAAGTTTAACGAGATATTAAGTTAAATATTAAATAGATGGCCTTTTGAAAGGACTTTGCTTTGTAGTAGGTCATGTTGACGCAGCTATGAGAGGAATGTTCATTCATAACACACTTCCCATGGTGCTCCATGGTCGCCCTCTGGAAATTTCTGAAACGACCCAATTTTATTTTTTGAAATAAACCAACACAGGGTTTTATTTTGAACTTTAGAATTTTGCAGTGATAAAGTCGAGATACTGAATTATATAGAAGTATAAAAAACTTAACAAGTTTAGTCAATTTTTTTGAGAAATACAAGATTTAAGATTTGTGTTAATAAGCCGTCTGCAAGAGTATTAATTCACCATATAGCTAGCAGTAAATAGATCAGCCAATAGCAAGCATTGTGTGTTGAGCATGTGATAGAGAGTGCAATTGTAAGCTCTACCAGTTGATATACACAGTCGGGAACTAACATAGGTCATTCTAAAGTAGGAGATAGTTTAACACGATGTCTTGGATTTTAAAACAAGTTTGGACTTGTGAATGAACATGACTATAACCACATGGAATTAAAATTCAATAAGTTTTGAAGAGTTAACAACACATTACACGAGAGGAGGATTTATTTTGGATTACTGAACAGGGAGATTTATATGAATAATATATTTGGAAACCGCCTGGATTTAGTTAAGTGTAAAGGAGTGGCGTGTAATACCAGTAAGTACAGTTAGATTGATTCATAAAATGTTGGCATGTGTTTAGATGGTTGTGGTTTTCTGAATGGACTTATAAGAGTACACCAATTTTGTAAGTTTATCAATTTCGATATCTAATCAAAACATGTATGTTATGACTACTTAAACTCTCTATTTTGCTTTCATCTGACTTTGATTGAATCATGGAATTTGGGTCATTTTAAGGAGCCATTTTGGGAATTTTTCATGGTTTTGAAAAATATAAAACATGTGATGACATCCTATTTGATTTATTTGATAACTAGTATGTGCTTGTATATATATTTGTTGATGCCTTTTGGCATGATTTGACCAAACAAACAGGACAACGCAATCTTATCCGAACATACATGTAACAAGCATCATCATACATCTTATCATAAATAGAAGATTTCTGTCATAGCTAAGATATGTCTGTGGTACTTGAAACAAATCTCCACACAAATATCATAGTCTTACATAGAAGCCTGGAATTGTGTTCAGATGTGAGCTTGTTTACAAGGCAGTTCAGCAACAAGCTTGATAATGTTCTAATAGTTTTCTGGCTCATATACAGGACTATTTACTCAAGTGCTGAACATTCCACATGTTATATTCAGTCAAGGTTGTTCTTTGGTGAATTATGAATGACTTTATTGAAAACTGATAAAATGGCATAGTTAAGAGTCACTTAGTTATAAATATAGATATAAATTACCATTTTGGGTTAACAAAACATGTAAGAAGATTTATTATTGAGAAATACCTACATGTAATTTACTTTGAAGAGGAATGTAAAGTTGATGTCAAAGTGTCTTTATTATATCAATTTTGATTGTGTTTTATAGTGGCTGTGAAATGCAATATGTTGAATACTGATGAAATAATCTCAAACTATGAATAGATGAACATGCAGTTTGTGTATTATATGTTACAGTTTCAAAAAGGCTTGTTATATTATTTGTATTAATGGTTATGTGGTTGTGCTTGTTATTAAATTAAGCTAATAAGTCTTGGCTGTTGAATACCTGCTAAACACCTGTCTTAAGTTTCCTTAGGAAATTGGAGCTGGGAGATGATTTGTCCTCGAGGGGGGTTGGTCAAAGGATTTCTGAGCAGTTAAACCAGTAACAAAATAATGATATTCTAATGTTAGCATTAGATATCACTCACATATTTGTATAGGTATTTCTGGTATCATATTATGACCATAATATCATAACTAACAGTTACCATCCTGCCAGTGTTTGCATATTCTATCAACTTGATTAATTCCCTCCACAAATTCTGAATATTCCCCTAATCAACTAGTTAATACCTGCTATTAATTAATTACAGTACATCTGTGTTTTCATAAGCAAAACCTAGAATTATTCTTATAGGAATTTTTATGTGTCTATGGTCTGTTGGTGCTTATGGATGTATAATGTGAGCTCCCAAAGGATTATAGTTATTTCAGTGACATTTAAAGACTCTTAAGTTTTGGAGGAATATTTCCTTGGATTAGCTTGTCATTTGCCAGACAAAAATGTTAGAGCTTTAAGAATTTCTTGTTTAATCTTTTGGTTAATATTTCAATATTGTAATTTGTAACTCACAGACATGTTTACGTCTATTAGTAACATTGATATCATTATTAATAAAATAAATTAGCAATTATTAAATAGCTTAGGAATGTATCTGACAACACTTTAACCAAACCCACTTAAGAGTTTTAATGGTTTCCTTCGTTTTTTAAATGTAAGATTTTATGAATATGTGTAACATCGTATCATCATGCCTTGTGGGGTATTTATATTAATCAGTACATTTAAAAAAATTACTTCAAAGAGAAGTTTATTTTCATATTCAGATTTTTAGCTTTAAACGCCTTTTGCACACTTGAAAACATCCATGTAAGTTAATTTGACATCATAGGTTCATACTTAAAAGTCATGGGAATTTTTGAGACCTGATTAAATGTAGTTCGGTATTCACTTCCCTGTAATCTGTAGAGTACATTAGTTTGTGATTTATGGTATTTCGTGGTCGTTGTTTCCCAGTCACGCTTCTTGATTTTATTGAATTCCACAAAATTATAAACGGATATAGAGAGAAGAACCACATTGTACCAACAATCTCTGAACAATTTCACTTTTATGCCTTTTATTTCCGATATGTTTTTCTTTTTTTGCATCAATCTGCTATTTAGCTAATTTAAATGTGAATATGAAATCAGTACCTGAACCAAATTAACACTTTTATAGTTTAATTTCATATTAATATCACTGGTGACTTGTAGGTCAAATATCAAAGATAAAACTGACTGCAACCTTTTTATTAATGAAATGCCAACCATATGAAGTCATGTATTGAAATATGTCGTCTGCTTAAAATATTTTTTATCCAAACTTCTTTCTCAAAATATCTCCTTAAAATTTAAGAAGTCTCTCATTTTTGGTGATTTCTGTACAATTTAAAGCTACATGTCTATTTATTATTGTATTCCTTGTTAATTCCTCTCTTTTATACTTTATTTTGCATTTTTAAACAGGACTGAACTGCCATTTTACTCATGAAATACTTCATACCTATAGGGCTCCAAGTGGGATTAATAACATGTGCCAGTAACTCCTTCAAATAACACCTCACCATTTTCTAGGCAACCATTTAACTTTAAAAATCAATAGCTGCTTAACAGCACATTTATATCTCTATCCATACTGGGAATTATGGGATGTGACCTTCTGTCGACGCATAAACTCTCAAGATGATCTCCGTCAAGAAAAAAATGACATCTTGATTTTGGTCACATTCAACCATATAAGCATAAAAGGAGGAAAATACCATGTCTACACTTATCTGACTCACCCACCATTATTTCGCAACTTTTCAGCCATATAACATCAGCAAATGAAAGAAAATAACAGGTTGACCCCTCTCATTAGAGAGTACACCATATAAAGACACACATGTGAGCTATTTTTCAAAGTAGATAAATATTGATAGAAAGGAGGTATATGTGTAAGTGAGGTTTGTACAAGAGTGGGTAGGAAATCTTTTGACCCAGGTCAATACATTGATTGATGTAGAAATTAACCTCAGGGTGCTTGAAAGAGCAACCCATGTGGTACATTCAGGTACATGTAAATCAAAGAAGTGAGATGCCAATATATCACAAAGAAAGGGATAATGATTGAGCTACCATGCTGAATAAGTTGCATAGTGGCAACCAGAATTTTAGTCTTGCTTCAAGACCATGGTAGTCCCCTATATCTGCTTTACTATTGTTAAAGTAGATGTTGTTAAAGTAGATAGGGGAAGGGGGAGTCCAGGGTCTTGGAACAAGACTACCAGATTTTTAGTCTCGTTTCAAGACCCTGGTCCCCTTTATGTACTATTCTGTTGAGTAGATAGGGAGATGGGGGTCCAGGGTCTTGGAACAAGACTACCAAATTTTTAGTCTTGTTTCAAGACCATGGTCCCCTTTATCTACTTTTCTTTTGAGTAGATAGGGAGATGGGGGTCCAGGGTCTTGAGGCAAGACTACCAGGTTTTAGTTGCCCCCCCCCCCCCCCCGTTGTCAGTTTTACACATCTAGTACCCTAGACCTGGTCTATTGGTGCATTTATAAGGCTATACCATGCTGTATTACTGAATCAATGTAACAGCTGGTTTGAGAAAGTAGCTGAAATTATCATTTGCAACTAACAGTGTATATGATTATTTATATATTATATGGCTGGATTCTTGGTTTAGTTGAGGCCATTCGATGCTGTCATTCAGTAGCCAACTTAATCCCATTGTCTCCTAAAGGAGAAGCCCCCAATCTCAGTCAGGTGTCACCTCCTTCCATCAACCTAGTCTCCCCTATTTTCTTTCCTTTCTGTCTATCTCTCATTCTATTAAAGTATAGCTCCTATGAAGAGTACCAAAAAGCAATGAACATACAGTTTATATAGGAGAGTACGTAGACCCAATCTAAAGTTTATGATAACACCATTATGACAGAACCATATAATGGGTGTGTAATATTCTGCTTAATGCTTTTTATATCAAATAAAAACAGTCACAGGTCTTAGGTCTAAGAATGTCAATAGAGAGATATGCATCATTAATATGCTATGAATGTGTTTTAATCACTTATAGAAGACTGAAGTGGTCTGACACGAATAGTCTCTTGCATTTATGTAGTTTTTTTAGCCCTTTGGGTATTAGGCTCTTGAGTCCATCAAGCTGTCATATTTGTCCCTGGAATAATATGGTTGTTATCCATTGAAAGTGGAATTAGGAAGTAAGGAGTTTACAGAGCCTTGAACAGGTGTGAGGGGGGGATTGGATATTGTTTGATTTTCTGATTTTGATATTATAGTCTCCAACCTTTTTTTATGGCTGGTGTTCTGTGTCTGTAACAGCGTCCAATGCCTGTAACAGAGTGGTGGTCGGTGCCTGTAACAAATGGAAGATGGTGACATTTTGCATGTTTGTGCCTTGTTTTATGATGTTGTACCCTGCGTGCAGAGTCTAGTTTAACTACACTCTTGCTAGTAGAGACCATGTTACAGTTTAACAGTCCCGCCCCCACGACTGGTACCGGTGACAGTTTGGGTTCACAGGTTTATTTTAGTTTGAAAGAGTGAAGATGAAGCTCTCTTTTAAGAAGTGAAGTCAAACGAATGCAAAGGGTAATGATGTTGGGGACTGTTTTCACATAACTGATTGCTGTGCTCATTGTTGTACCTTGAGAATCAAAGAAATTAAAATGGAGATAATAATTGAGATGAAGCCATTGAAGCTTTCTTTTAAAGAAGGAAAATCAAACGATTGGAAAGGTACCTTTGTGGAAGAAACTGTCTGGCGGACTTAACTTCATGGGGCATCCATTGATCCACTGGTTCTTCAACAAAACAGGACTTTTTAACCATTTTTTCTGTTAAAATGAAAACTCTTACATGAATGACCATATTTCAGTATTACATGGTTTTATGAACATTTAGAACGGTTCTATTATGCTAATTTGTAAGGAGAACAGAGAACTGTGAAGCATATGGCGCCAGAATGGTAAAATTAATAGAATAGCCAAACTTTCAATTGTGATGTCAACCAGCCTAATAGTACACTATTATGAATATTGGATTTGAATGGGACATTGTGAATGATCAATAGATAAATGATAGGATTGTCTCTCATTAGTCTTGCATAAAGTCTCTCCTTTATGGAGGTGAGATGTTAAAGGAAGCGGGTCTAAAAGGCCTTATGCAAGACTTGTCTTTCATCAGTAATGTAGGATATATTTTCTTGCATCAGGGGTCAGAGAGAGAGGAATCTGCAAGGATTATTGGGAAATATTGATATTTATTCCTAGAGAGGAACAAATAAGTAATAACACATACAGTAAAACCCGTTTAATCCAAACGCCTCTGGGACTGGCCATAATATGTGTTCAGATTAGCAGGTATTCACAAGTCAATGGGATATAACAAAATTTGAACAGAGGAAAAGTGTTCACCTAGAGAGATGTTCAGCTTAGAGATGTGTTTTAATATACAGGTTTCATACAGTACAGATTAGCCTGCTACACGGGGGTAAAGCAGACCCGATGATGCAATGAGCTTGCTCGGCGGTATCATGACTGTGCAACGGGTCTTAATGTATAAGTGTGCTCGGCGGTAGGTTCAAACAACGCGGATCCTCAAAGCATGTGCTCATGGTATATTCGTGTTTTAACACCCGTGTGCTACCAATAATCAGACACCAATGATTGTTACGGAGTGATAGCAAGTCTGGTATTTGCTATGATTTATCCGTCTGCTTTTTGCTTATTTTACTCCAATTCTCTCCAAAATTTGAATGAAGCGTCTAATTTTCTTGCATTTCTACACAATTTAGTGTGTTGACTACATGTCTGTTTACTTAATTCCTTGGTAAATCCTCTGATTTCTACTTACTTTTGCCATTTAAACATGACACTGTGATTTTATCCAATGGCTGTTTGTGCTCAGAATTAAGTCAATTGATGATATAGTAGTAATATTGCAGTGAATCAATTTTCGAGTAGAGCTATTTTTATCATTAATCCACGACATGTGGAGAAAATGGATTCATCCTCGGATGGTAATCATTTCATTTGTTTGGGGTAAATGAAACAGAATGCCCATCCTCGGAGTCTTTTTTGAAATATAAACCTGAATGGAAAAGTCATTGTGAGAGATCACGAATCTTCTTACAATTTCTTTCTCGAGTAAATTAATAGATTGAAAACAATAATATGTGTCGAGTATCAGAATGGGGAAAAGTATAGAAGATGGAAACCATGTACAGTACAGTAAAACCTGTCTAATCTGAATGGCTTTGGGACTGGCCTGAAGTGTTTGGATCAGCAGGTTTCCAAATTGCAAGGTTTATAAACATGTAAGTAATGCTGTTGAGTATATTGAAATGCAAGAAAATCAGGCATTTCATCAAATTAGGGAGAAATAGAATGGAACAGGAATGACCATTGAAAAATATTTCAATGAAGGGTACAGAAAGGATGTTATCATGAGGAACGTGAAGCCGAAATATGAGCACGTATTGACAAATGCCACCCTTTGTACCCTCCTCTCCCCAGCCAATAGCTACATAAACTTATCAGTCTGTCCAAGAGAGGCTGTCACATACTATTAACACTTACACGCTGGGAGAACTACCAGCTAGGTATATACATGTAAACTATTTGTAAACATTCACTGGGATTATATGCTGAATAAACTACCTAATGATACTCTCTAATCCAAGGTTATATTAATGTTGGCATACTAGATCTCAATATCCTGTCAAAGTAAAACCGCATAGTGCTTCTTTTATGTGTGAGGTATGGGTTTTTACTACTTTTGTGCATTATGAATCAGTCTGAAGCATAGTATTTTGTACTGTAGCATATAGCACCTTGTTATGGTCAATGTATAGCACCTTGTTATGGTCAATGTATAGCACCTTGTTATGGTCAATGTCTCTGGGGGACAGATATGGGGTACAAGTACCAACACTTGCCCCCTCTCTGGCACCCCAACAAAGTTCTGTACTGACGGTTAACTGTAATTTTATAATTTTTGTACTGTATGTTAAGTACTGCAAGTTTATAGTACACTGTAGGTTGATTCAGATTATATTGTTTTATACTGTATGGTAAGCACTGCAAGTTCATGGTGTTTTGTACTGTATGTTAAGCACTGCAAGTTTATGGTGTTTTTATTGTACTGTATGGTAAGCACTGCAAGTTCATGGTGTTTTGTACTGTAGCTTCAAGATGTTTGTTTTCATGAATGTAGCATGTTTAGATGAGAGGGTTTGTATTGGTTGTGGTTAAGGGGTCATATGAGCTCATATGTTATCATGTGCCAATGTATTCATGGTAAGAAAGGGAGAGTGTAAGGAAAGTACTTCAAGCAGGATGTGCCAAAACTACAATGATTGTTAAAGAGTTGTATTTCAGGTAGATAAAGCTCTCTTTAAGGAGCAACATCAGTAAAGTATGTCAACAGGGGATTAGAAAGGGTATGTCAACATAAGTCTACTGTAGAGTCTGAGGCTGATATCAGTCAATATAAACCTATCACCAAATTGGCCATGTTTTTAGGGCTGTAATAGATACCTATGATTGTTGACACTTGACAGCCAGCCATTTTCAGATTTAGTGGTTTAAATTGAGTGGACCTGGGGCATTTGAAGACAGATTGACATAGGTTTCTTTGAAGAATGATTTGATCAATTCATGGATGTTATATAGCTCAAAAAAGCCACTGATTAAGAATTACCGACTGATAAATCTAGTTTGACTTGATTCATTTAGCAAATAACATGGCCTTTAGCAAGCTGTAATTGACCTAATGGATATTTATAGGAACCAAGACAAGATAAATGAAGTAGCATTTGACTCATTATTCCAAGATCTGGTCAACTTGTTTCAAGCTCCAACTGTCTCCTATATTACCTAAATAGGTAATATTTTTCTTGTCATGATATTCACATATTTTCTCTTGGTGTCTTTGATTTGTAGTTTAGATTGTAAGTTCAACCATGGGCTTTCAACAGACTCTTGAAAGCCCATGGTTGAACCTCAGAGGTTTTTGATTTTATTTGTTTGTAATCTTTGTGCACATATTTGTATGTGTGGCTAACTTCTTTTTTATCATTTTCTCTGTTTTGGCTTATGCTGTATTAGGGTTAAAAGTTCTAATTGTTTAAATCATTTCTTTCATGATTGTGTCCATGCAGTTTGTCTTTGGATATTTCTCTGTTATTTTGTTGAAATTGAATAGTGAAAGTCATTGAACTTTAGAGACATTCAAAGGTTGCTGGAATTCTCATACTCGGTATTTAGGAAAGCATCAAGGAGAATAGCCTCAATTTAAGATATATTAGACATATCTACTTCAACGAGGCCTCTACAGATAAGATATATACAAAGATTATCAATAAGTAGGGAATTTAGTTTATAACACATTGTATGTAGTTCATTAGTAAGATCTATACAGTTTTCAACATGATTAAGCATCCCAATATCTCGTCATTTGCATCAAACATCATGACTAAAGCTGATAGAAAGCAGGCATTTAAACGATTGTTTACCATGTTCTGTTTTGCGAGGGAAATTATCCCCACTGTGTTCTATTTAGCGAAAGTAATTATCTATTTTTTGGAAGGGTAATTACCTGTATGTTATATGTTCACTAATTACAGGTGATTTGATTACAAGTCTGGTCAATATGGTATCAATCAATCGTGTTTCCCTTATAATAATTGTCCACGAGGAAAAAGTTATGGTGGTCATATTTTAAACCAGGAATTAGACTAGAAATTAATAGAAACGACAAGGAATAAAACACTCAAGCATGTAGAGGATAGTATAAATGGTATAGAAATGCAAAAAGCAAAAAAGTCAGACATTTTATTCAAATTTTTAAGAGAAATACATGGGATAAGCATATAAGCAGACGTTTGTTTGATGTGCTGTTTATCGTACCTTATAATAATCAGCAATTAATTGACTGTGATGATCTATATGTGGTAGTTATCGAGTGTCACATTTTGTACTGCATAGCAGGCTTTATTATAGTTTCAATCAAAAAACAAATATATTGGAATTGAACAATAAAAAATTAGCAAGGAATTTAACGATCCGCATTGTGATGTCAATATGATCACAGCATGGTTTACTAAATATATTCACGAAGGAGAACAAGTATATAGCTGTTGTGTATCCCCATTTCCTGTTCCAGCTGCCAAATATTGAACAAGAACAAAAATTTATTATCATGAATATTAATAAATGTTTGAGTCTTGAATCCAATGTTATCTTGGATAAACCAGGTTTCTCATGTTTGCTTACATATGTCAACAACTTCAGTTCATTTATAAGATCGCTTAGCGTTCAATCTGCATTTCAAGAGTTGTTATAGGTCATGATTATTGGTAATAATTTTAAACTTTCCACCCATAAATACTTGCATGGTTATACATTAAAACCTGTCTAAGTAGAACACCTTTGGTACCTTCAAAAAGTGTTTTACTTGGGAGGTGTTCTTACTTATAGAGGATCATTTAACATTAAGTCAGTTGGTCTTGGGACTCTGAAAAGTGTTCCACTTCTAGAGGTGTTCCCATTTACAGGTTTCACTGTATATTATTCACTTACAAGTTTCATTTAATGCTAATACCATCTTTTCTATCATACTAAAAATATACTAAATGTGTATTCTCATTTTCTCATACCGGTATGTCATCCAGTACTAATCACATTATAGGAAATCATTTTTTGCAACAAATATGTTCTGTTATAGTGAAGTGTCTGTAGTTGAAGGGCTTTTGTAGTATAAATATTTACATTGTGTAATACATATGTCAACACTGTATAGCACTAGTTATGTGTCATACCCAATAATCAATGGAGTGAAGAATAGCTTCAGTCCCTGGGAATAAGGAACTCGTACACTAAATGCACCTTGAAAAGCACAAAGAAGGTTTGACGCACTGCATCGGGTATCCCACTATTTTTGTTACTGGCGTTTAATGTGCGATCTCAGATTATATAATTATTTGATCTCTGTATTTTCAGGAGCTGGTAAAATGTTGAAAGAAAAGATCTGATTGGACATTACATAAAGAGCTACTAGGATGAAGCAAGCAATATTACAAGTCGTGTGTGGAGCAGTTTGGCTTTTAGTCACATCATCAAATGCTGCGACATATATCCGAGAAAGCTTTTCCGATGCTACGAACATTGGAGATTTTGAACGTGTCGTTGTTGATAATCGAACAGGACGTTTATACTTAGGGGCTGTAAATAAATTATACAAATTAACTGAAACTTTAACTCAAGAGCAGAGTCTAACGACGGGTCCGGAACAAGATAGTCCGAAATGTATAAAAGACGATGACTCATGCCCAGATAGAGTCCCAACAAACTGTATCACCAAGGTGATGGTGATTGACTATAGCGCAGAGAAGCTTATACATTGTATGAATTTATATCAGGGCTTTTGTGCGATTCGAAAACTTGGAGATATTACTCAATCAGATCCACCGAATTACAAGCCATTGGTTGCTAATGACGATACATCTCCAGCAGTTATGTTCATCGGCCCAGGTCCACCTGATCCGGCAACTACAAATGTTTTATATATTGGTGCTACACGGACAGTTTTAACTGACTCTATTTACAGAGACTATATTCCCACTGTAAGCAGTATAAATCCATCTACATTTTCACTTGCCGGGGATAATTTACAAGGAGGGACTCAGAAATTCATAGATACTCATAATCGGGACACATTCTTTGTATATTACAAATATGGATTCACTTCTGGCTTGTTTAGTTACTTCCTTACGGTTCAACGAGAATCGTTAACTATTAATTCTGCCAAATATGTGACCCGATTGGTCCGTGTGTGTCATGGCGATGAGAACTTTTACTCGTATACTGAGGTCCCGCTGGAATGTAATCACAGTGGAACATCGTACAACCTTGCTCAAACTGCATATGTCGCCAAAGCGGGGAATGATCTTGGGAAAAGTCTAGGAATGCCAAACAACGAAGAGGCATTATTCGTCGCCTTTGCAACAGGTCAGACTAAAGACCCTGACTCTAATTCTGCACTGTGTGTTTTCCCGATGCGTCAGGTGGTCGGAAAGTTTACAGAGAATATCAAGGAATGTTTTAAAGGATTGGGGAACACTGGGCCAGGACACATCGCAACAACAAAAATATGTACAAAATCAGTAAGTTATTTACACCTGCATTTAAATATACATCAATTCCATCGTAATGCTTATATATAACTTGATACAACTATATCTGTATACTCCTTTTATCTTCAGTAATAATCTTTATTCATTTTCTGACCCACAATGCTGGAGTCTTGCATCAAAGAATCCGGGGGGGGGGGGTAAAGGAGCTTGATGCCTATTAAAAGTAGATAAAGTACCAATTCTGTGTGTAACTTTAATAGACCATGCTTGCTACCAAAGGATTTTTTCCAGGTTTTGATCTTTGTAACAATTAAATATTGCATTTTCATGATTTTTTCTTCAAGATTTAGCACCTAGTTATAATAGATATAGACATAACATGTAGCAGCAGTTGAATCAGGGATATTGTCAAGATATTCTATGATTTAGCGTTAGTCAATCAGGGCAAGTTTTCATAGGCCCTCCACTCTCTCCCTGATTTCAGAAGACAAAAATTCTTGTAGGGCCTACTAAAATAATATGTTCTTCAAACATAAATTCTTCCAGCAACGAAATTAATATATCTTTTGTTATGTCACTACCATAAGTGGTGACATATTGTTATAAGGTCTTGTGGATCCTCTTCAGCGGTTGGTGTTTGGTGGCGATTGATGGTTGATATCCGTAACAAATGCCAGGTGGTGACATTTTGCATGTTAATGCCTTGTTTAATGTTTGATATTTTGATGTTTTCCCTCTAAGCAGCCTTATCAATAATTCAAGCAGTATTGTCTGATAAGTCAAGATTTATGGTGCTCTAGTGAATAAAATGTCACAATGGTTGTGTTTTTAAATGTTAAAGTAAATTAGAAAGAAGTTGAATCATCAAAGATTAAAGCAAGCAGTCATGAAGTAAAAATTAGAGTTGTAGAGAAATATCAAAAATTCTGACTTTTCATTCAAATTTTGGGGAGAAATTGAGTGGCATAAGTTGATCTATTTGACATTCTGTGCACAATGTCAAATGCAATTTGAAAAGCTAAGACTTTTTATAACATACATCCTTCATTCAAAAGGCTTCAATTATTTCTCTATTCATATGAAATGAAATACCCTTGGACCAAGGATGTATAGCGTGTACTTTTGAGCTATATTCAGTAAAACCTGTCTTATCAGAATGCTACAGGGACTGGTCAAAAGTGATTACATTTCAAGTTTTTTTAACAAGGGAGTCAATGGGATGTTACAAAATAGGGACTGGAAAAAGTGTTCACATTGGGAGCTGTTCAGATTACAGAGGTGTTCTGATATACAGGTTTTACAGTAACTGTACTTTGAATCATTTCCATTCATATCTGCTGTTATTCCATCATCATGCTTCATGTACCGTATTCTCTCTAATGAGCACAGTTCCAATGAGCGTATATGTGACTTTTATGTTGAACATGGGCTCAAGAAAACATGAAGTTCAATGCATTAGTTTTGATTATTTACACAACAAAATATTGATAGATGATTATATTACTGTATCATACAGGAGCTGTAGAGTATGTATACCTGAGTGGTAACAACTAAAATATTATCAAAGATATATTTCTAAATTTTTTGTATGAGCATTTATTGGAATCTCTCAATATCTTACCCTTTTAAATTTCAATTTGGAAACTGCACTGTGCGCTCCTTAGAGAGAATATGGTAAAGGATTGTATGCTGCTTGGGAGTTATGGATTACCATTTTACATAATGTCACATGGAATACCAGGATCCCTAAAAACCTAAGACCATTTTTTTAAGAATGTGTTTGTTTTACAGAGAAGCTATAGTACGAGCATATTTTTTTTAAACAAATCCAGATTTTCTGTTTTAGTCCTATCATCATCATCATCATACAGTGATATTTAGTGTTTGTCTCAAATGAGAATGTACTGCTTGGAATTTGCTTGAAGTTTATATTATCATGGTTTGGGTTAGGGGTATATGGAGGGGTTTACAGTTCAGACTGTTGACTGCTCGTGGATGTTATCCCTACAGATCCATTTTAAGTACTACTAGGTACCTCAGGCCCGTATCCAGCTTTTGCCAATGAGGGGGGGGGGGTTACTTTTCAAAAAGTTCCAGGGAGGGGAGAGTTTTACAATTTTGGCCCAAAATCACTGTGCTCAGAATGGTGAGAAACTTCATGATTTTGAAGTAATTTTTGGCCAGGGTTCGCTAACCACCCCCAAACCTCCCTGGCTACGGGCCTGTACCCTACCATATAAAGACCTCTCCCATCAATTTTTTGTCCACCCTTGTTTACACAGATATTTACCTTATTATTAAAACTGTATTTCTACCCTGTACCTTTCTACAGATAGACTGGGTGGTAAGTTTTGATTCCATCAATCCAGGATATTGTACCAGCCCTAATCATTCACTTTGCCATTTTAGGCATTGTCTAAATAGTGGCTCAAATCAAAGTGATGCCATGGCCAAATTCACAAGTCATTATCTAAGTACTAAAATAAAGCTGCAGCATCTTGTGTTATTTAAAAGCCACTTTTTAGACATTGCCCATATATTTGATTATTTTCCATCGCACATTAACCATATTCTAACTTTTACACATGCCCACAATTTTTGCTGTAAATAAATACAATCTGTTGAAAATCTCGAAAATCTTATAAAAACAGTTATTTTTAGAAGTATGAACAGATGAAAAATTGTGAGGCAGGTTTATCAATGTATGATTCCCCAATACCCTTGCTTGGCTCATAGTCGTCGTCAGAAAAGTTTGTTCCCACTAAAAATTTGCCATAATTTCATATTGTTTCAATTATTACCCCCGCCTAAACTAAAGTTTTCCATTTATCAGTTTTCATAGTTTGTTTTGTCAAGCATTTTGTGTACATGTGTAAAGTTAGATATATGATGAAATTTAATTTGATTTATGCTGTAATTGTATAATTGCACTTTTGTTACCATAGTAACTGATACTGGTTACTGTGGGAACTGTTTCCAGGATCAACCATTGTTGTGATGTTATATTGTTGTGCTTTAACAATGAGTTTGCTTGGAATTTTTATGTAGTGCTATAATTTATTGACATGCGATAACTTTTTTTTTTAAATTTTATTTTACTTAATAGTTAAAAACTATTGATTTGTAGTCTGTTTCATTTATTTAATATCACATGATTACCGAATGAATTCATTTTTTTTAAATTTTAGTTTGAATTTGTTCTTTGTTTGAATGATAATTGTTGTCTATCATGTATTTGCATCATGTAAACTGCATGGTGCTTACTAAAAAAATCAGCATGTGCGAAAAAGATTCCATCAAGAAGTTACATTTCTAATATTCTACTAAAATAAAATACTAAAAACATAGTTTGTATCGCTTTTCAAAAAGTCTGCTCACTTTATTAAAGTTTTCCCCTGCGTCCATTTTAAGATGAACCGAGTGAAACCCTGAACATGTGAAGATGTAATAAACATTTAACTTGAGCATCTTGTGAAGCTAAATTGTCATTGCTTGGTAGTCTTGCCTCTTGTCATTAACTCATTAAAAACTCATTAAACTGCTAATTGTCATTAGAATTAACTTTTCTCCTTTATGTTTTTTGCATCTTGAGGACTGTGATACTAAAACTGATCTGAAATATCTAATTATTATAATATGCGAGAAAATAACTGAATTTTGAATTATTTTAGGATTGGACAATAGATGACGATTATTGTGGAGCACATGACTTCAATCAGCCAATTGCAGGGAACATACCAATTGTAGGCAAAGCCGTTATCACATTCCCGACCACGCTTGTGACATCACTAGCCGTGACGTATACGAGCAACACAGTGACCAATCAGTACACAGTCGCATTCATGGGAACATCAACCGGCCATTTGAAAAAGGTAAGAGCAGTGATTCATGGCAAGGTATACAGCACAGACTGTTGACTGCTCCTGGACCACTTAGATTACGGCATTTATAAGAATGTATTAAATCATAAGATAAATTGTAGATAAGCGGTATACAATATTGGGAAATACATATTTCAAAACCAAAAATTCGATCAGGAATTAAAATGACATTTCCCAAAAATTCAAATAATCTTGTGAAAGTGCAGCAGAAACATGTGCAGTTTTGGATAACCAGAATTGTGGAATGTTCTTTGAGGAACAAAAAGGTCAGCTCAAAATAACAGACTGCCATTGGTCGACTCTATGTTTGTCCCCTGTTCCGATAACTGTAGATATCTCATGAACTGGAATTAATATTCTTGTTGAATCGTATTCCAAAATGGAGTTATTGCCTAGTTACTGGTGTTGGATGAGCAGACTTATAATATCCTCCATTAGCTCAAGATGCATCTTCTATAGTCTTACATTAAGCCTCCTCCACTACTTGACTACATAGGTGAAAACTTCTCACACAGGGTAGGTGTGTAGTTACACTATCAATTCCATTATCATCAAGGGAATTTTCAGCTTTATCACCATTTCTCTTTTCTGTTACATCTCTCTAATGGAGGTGGAAAGGGCACATATGATGCCTAATTCAGTTCAACTCAATCCAATCTTTCATATTGAAATATTTGGCCTTGGAGGTTTCAGTACATTTGCTCAGATGTATCGATTCTGTACAAGTGAGTGATACAACATTAGCAGGCGATACTTTGCCCTTAATTGAAATTACAAGGAATTGAATTTCTCTTATTCCCTTTACAAATTTTGAATAAAGTTACTTAATCTTAGTATGAGTATGACGTGAAGAATTGTCTGCGTGCAGGGGTCTTTAATTGTCATTCTCCCTTTCTGTCCTGGTATATTTATATTTTTGGAATTGAAAATATCAAACCGTGAATTTTCTTTTATGTTGTCTTCAAATAAATGAAAGTCACTGAAGCATTGTCTAAATTATCTCATTGTGTCATACTGTATGCACCTTGTTTTGTCTAGGCATGGTTTGTCTGCCCTTCCGAATGCGTGTAGTTTGATTTCGCTATTCTATCAAGTTATTTCATTTTTGTTCCTTTTAGCCATCACACTATGCTCGAACACAACTTAATTTACCTCTCAGAAAATATTCAAGACGTTGAACTCCTTGATATTCTTGAATTCCCCTCTCGAGTCTCTATTATGATCAACAGCTCCCTTGAGGTCTTCTTTAGTGGGCATGTCTTTTCTTAAGGAAAAAAATGAGACATCTCCTGCATTTCTATTGCTGTACCATAAAACAGGATAATTTTATATTTCTTACATTTTGAATTTGGCCAAAAGTTACCGATGGTCAAATTCCCGAATTTTAACCACTCTTTTTTTAGTCAAAATTGACGGACAATAGTTGATAAATAAAAAAGATTGAGAAATTCAGAATTCATGAAATCTACATGCAACAATGGAGAAATTCAGAATTCATGAAATCTGCATGCAAGAATTCAAAGTGATTTACAGTCATTTAGAGACAACTAGGTACCCATGTCCTTATTTTCACTTATTTCCATGGGAAGTCAGGGCCACCATGACAAAGCTCACACACTTTTAACAATTAACTAATGCAAAGAACAGTTAAAATAATATTGGATTCAGCATCATTTAGTTTCAGAATGTGTATAATGTTTACCATCCCTTGAGTAAAATTCAGATTGTGCATGATTTGAAATAAAAAATGATAAAGTTGAAAAGAGGAATTAGAAAGAAATAATGTATAAGCATGTTATAGGAATTCAAAACCATTAAGAAATGCTAAAAATCTGCCAGATTTTTTAAATAATTTTTCAGATTAATGCTATTGAAACACACACACCAAGTCACATTTTAACTGGCATTTCTATCTTAAAAGGTCCATACTGATTTGATAAATGTTATTTATTAGCCATCACTTTCTGAGTTTTATTTAATCGCTATGGCAATTTGATGGTACAGTAGAAACATTACTCGCTGAATTGTAAATGTAATGTAATTTTTAACCCTAGAAGGTGCATAGTTGAATACTTAGAGAAGGAATTACTATATTTCAAACATAGAATATGAAAGCATGCTTCATGTTGATGCTTCTTTCTCTGAAAACAAGTAACCAACTGCTTGGTTTTACGATATTTAACACAATTTATAGCATTGACTTCCTGTCGGGTCTACTTTAATCATTGGTAATTTAATTTTCTTCTTTTTTATCCTGGAAAATACATTACCATGGTGTTACTATATTATGTAATTTCATTTGATTTATATCTGATTTATGCCATTCGATAAGCTAAATTGCTTTATATTTTTCAGTGTACTTAACATTGTGAAAAATGGATCTTAAAGTTTGGATTTGGTCAATGGTGTCACCCCTCCCCCCAACTCTCTCTGCCTCCTCACACCTCCCCAGCCTCCCATCTAAAGATACCCCAAGGTTCAATGCTTTAGATATAAGGAATAAGTAGTAGAACAATTGAATCACTCCTTACACATGGATCGAGCAATGCTTGATGAATGAAGAACCAACCGCAAATGATCTCTGTCTTCTTTATAGATCCTAAACTAAGCCCATGAAACCGAGAATTTATTGCCAATCCATTTAACTCCCTGCATTATTCTGCCATGAAAACAACCTGTGTGTAGGAATCTCTCACATTTTATGTTCTTACTCCTCTGGTGATTGTTTCTAAATCTTTGTAATTCAGATATAATTTGATCTATTGTATACAGTGTCAAAACGGCACCGACCTGATAGACCTCTTTGACTCCGATAAGAGTTTTTCATATTGCCTTTTCTGATGCTGATTTTCTGTTGGTGAGATATCGAGTATTTGGATGATATGAGATAGTCATCAATGCTACTAAATTATAAATGGTATATTAAGTCATTTATAAAAAATATGTTGCCTGTCATGAAAAATTCATATTAAATATGTTTTCTGTCATGAAAATGGCCATATCTGGCTTTTACTGCACTATCCATGTAGTAAAACTTGTATGTGAACAAATCCAAAGTAAGAAACTCCACACTCCACATTTTAGTGACCCATTGACCAATATCAGATCAACTCACTCTGAATCCCTTCAATTGTGAATGCCTTCTATTATGAACACCTTTATCTGCCTTTCAGTTACATTGTATAGGCACCCAAACATTAATCAACAATTCAAGTCATGCGGAATGATACAACATAGAGCACTTACAAATGCACAAAGAGAGAAGGAGAAATAAAGTGAATTATGCATGATGAGAGCAAGAATTAATCTCACCCGGCCGGGTTGTTTTTAAGCAAGAAGGACCCTCTTTGAGTCTAACGGTACAGGCCTCTTAGGAATGATTGGCAATTTCTGAAATGGAATCATTTTCTAAATGGCATACTTATGGCTTAATAAGACATGGTTCCGCAGTTTAAGATCATCATGATTGGACAATCTTATCTCCCTTGCGTCAAGTTTCATATTCGGATCATTCTGGCTTTTCTCGGGAAAAACAAGGAAAAAGAAAGATAATTGAGAAATAATGCAAAAATCAAACATATCATTAGCGCTTCACACATTTGTCAATATCGTTAAAATGCGAAATATTTTCGAATTCATTACAGATAATAAGAGATTTACATTGGTATGAAATCTTCTGAAATTTAAGGATGGCTATAAACAGATCGTATTAAAATGATAGGATGTTAGTTGACCTGTAAATGCTACTGAATTAGTAATTGACATTTGTGGTCAGGAACTTTTCTAATTTCAATTCAAACACTAATTTGCTTTCTATTTTGATTAAGTGTTCACTTTTGCTAGTTTTACTTCATCCATTTCACAATCACTTTGAGTGAATTAAGGTGAATCTGCATAAAAAGGAATTTTAATTAGAATTACAAATGATGAAACAATTTTTTTTTTATCCATGGATGTACATGTACATGTAATGTTAGAATTATGTTAAAATGACATCTCCTCAAAATACTTTCAATTGGTGATACATTGTTATAGTCTCCAACTTTTTGTGGATTGTATTCGGTGGTTGGTGTTCAGCAGTTGGTGTTTGGCAGTTGATGTTTGGTGGTCGGTGTTTGACATTTGTAACAAATGGCAGGTGGTGATATTTTGCATGTTAATGCCTTGTTTGAAAGTGCCGAAACACTTCAGTTCGGCCCACTCCCCCTCAGCATTTCCTCCATCCAGATCATATCCTCATCACTTCTTTCTATTTACTACATGGCTGAGAAGAATTGAGATGTCACGGTTTATCATGATAGAGCCAGATGGGTCTAATTTGATTAGAATAAATTCAATTATGAATTTAATTGGCAACTTCAGTCACATTACTATGAGAAGTCCTGCTCTAAGATTACAGAAGGGGGATGGGGGGTCTGTATGACAACAACTTGATTTAAAACTTAACAATATTTATCAATCTTGTTTCCTCAGGTTTCCGTGGCAATGAATCAGTGATTATGTGGACATAACATATTATTTGAATCATATGCCTGTTAACTGAAGATAAGTTAGTTTAATTAAAGGAATCCAATAATGATGAGCCAGAAAATTATTTTATTGATGCAAAATTTAGATATTGTATTGGAATAAATCCATGTGTTACCCCCTCCCCATGCAATTGGAAATGGGAAGTTTATCATAAATTATTTTCTGATTAAATACTTGTTTCTGAGGCATCTAACATTGACTCATTGTGTCACATTTGGTTAGAGTTATATTGAACTTATTTCCAATTTTCAAAATGTGTTTAGAATTTACTTCGTTGGCATCATCCTAAAATGAAAAATCAGTTTTGGCTTGGATGACTCTAATAAGCTTATATCTCAAATTGTCTAATATAATCAACTGCAGGATAGTTTACTAGCTCTTTATAGGTTCGTGGTTATGCTCAGTACTGCAAATTGTCATGGAGTAAGTAAGTACATGTAGTTAATAGACATTAAAAATATATTTCCAAACTTTCCATGAGGCATTTATGAAATCTTAAAAATATGTCTATGTTCATGTTTGAATCATTCAGACTATAGTCAGATCTGGCTGTCTATCATTAAAGCCGTTGAAAGTCACATACTGACATAGAGGACTGTTTAAATTCAAAATCTTATCACTTCATATTTCTTTTCAGTTTTTTCTATGAGTTATAGATTGTAAATTCATCATTAAAAGCAGTATAGCCAGCTTCCCAAGCTTGTCTCTTGTTTCCTGCCTTTTGCGCAGGTGGCAGGAGAAAGATTACGCTATAATTGATGTCACTTAGCTCAATCTTAGTAGATGTAATATATTATTATAGTGTTTCAATAAGATCAAAGTGTTTTAAAGGGTGGTCAACATCCTCATTATTTCTTCATCTTGCACTAGCATTACTTTGTCTTATGTCACCCGATATTTTGCAGAGATTTGCCTGATCTTAGGAAAACTGAATATAATTAACAGTGACAAAACAATTGGCTTTTAACATTAATCTGATTCTCAACAGACATGATATCCTTACAGTTTACTAGAATGTACATCAAGAATGCAGTATATTTTAGATATGAGAACATTTGAGTTTTGTGACAAGTCCCCACCCTATTACTATCTCTTTCCCCAAGATCTTGTATTTTGATAGATGATATAGTGAAACATGAATTCACAGCAAGAAGAAGCATGTTTAAGAATAGATTCTTCATTTGAGATATATTTTGTTCTTCCAGGTTGTCATAGAAACAAAGGATAGGGCAGAAGAGTATGAGGATGTTGTGATTGAAGAGGGAGAACCTATCAAGAAAGACATGCCATTTGATAGATCCAAGAAACATCTCTACATCATGACCAATAAGAAGGTAAGTCACAAACTAAGATGTAAGAATGACTCTGATTGGTTGATATATTTAAACAGGGGCATTGATTGGCTAAGAAGGTCCAGTGATAAAGTCCATCAAATGATCTGATTGGCTGATGAAGTATTCTGATGAATTTGATTGGCTTAGAGTCAAGGGATGAATCTGATTGGTTTATCGAATCCAACAACGAATCTTATTGGCTATTTATTGAGTCTCAAAAAGACATGCTTGGATGATACAAAGCTTCTCATTTCAAATGCAGTGAGAAAATACCCTATAGCTTAGTGAAACTGGCCAATTTATCTCAGTAATAATCCTGTATCAGACATGTTGTGTCCAATGATAAAACACCCCTTGGCATTACAGAAAAGTTCAGAAGCATTAGCTTAAAGTAATAACTAAAGGTCTCCCACCAGGCAATATTTTGGACCTGAAAAATTGGATGAATGTTAAACCATTAGCCAAATAGATCATTTAGTATTTACTTTCACAGTCTTTTATTTGCCCAATATGGGCTTAATATTACTGGGAATTTTCATGTGTTTGTTTAGTGTTTTAGATAAGCGTATTAAGTGCCTATGGTAAATAGTGATCCAGATTTTCATACCATTCTATAATTCATTCCTAATTGAGATATTTTTTTAATCTGAAGAATCAACATTTTTCATGGGGCTTAAATGTAACTTATATTCTGTTATCTAATGAATATAGTCTGACTCCAAATATTTTAGTCCAAAGAATTCTTGTAAGTCAATTATAGCTGCCACCCATAGTAAAGACATATCATTCATTGCATGCTATTCATTTTGGAAGAAATTTTTCGTTAAATTCCATCTATAAACTCAAGCAATACATAGAGGGAATACAATATTTGTATTGTTTGAGTCAAGAGTATTCGATACATGTAGCAGCAAATTTTGCAGGCAGTGAGAGATATATTTTATAAGGCTCTTAAGATCGAACTTAGCGCTAATCAGAATTCAATACAGTTAATAACTGGAGCCTTATATTCAAGATAAGTCACAGTTTATACTGTTATTGTAACCTCACTATCTTCTCATTATCAGTCGCAGCAATCGCATTTTGCAATCCCCATCTGCTCTGTTAATCCTGAGGAAATACCAACGAGGATTTTTGAGGTTTGCCCATAGTAATGTTATTTGGGGCTTAAATTTCCTTTAGATGATATTTACAATGATGGATGGTATTAATGCATGGGACATCTGTATATATAGGATTTAGAGGTGGTTGTATGTCATTATGAAACACCCAGTATTTATTAATATTTTCGCAACACTACTGTTTGAATTTTTGACTGAAATTATTTTTGTCGACATTTTGACAGAATGTTAAATGTTGGATGGAAATTTTCCCTCACTGGAGTCAAAATTATCAGCCTGGCTATCTTATGAAGTGTTATTACCTTTTGCTTTAAAAACAATTCAGTTTCATCGAGGGATTTGTCTTCATTTTTCATTTTCATCCTAAGTTCTGCAATGGTACCCCATGATAAACAATTAAAATTGATTTGATATGGCAAAACCATAAGTTGATATCCTTTGGTCAATTTCTTCCCTTAAAATCAGAGGCTAGCAGTTTGTCTATTTATATAATTGCATTCTTGCCCAACTACTACTGCCATTAATTCAGCATGCCATCTTTTCCTACATGAGAATCATTCAAAATTGAAATGAGTGACAAAGCTAACCTTGATCTTACTAACATTGTAGATTCACATCATTGCTAATACTGTTATAAACTGAAATATACTGGAAGATACTTTTCTTGATTTTGTAAGTGAATTTGAATAGATTGCACGTGGCAGGATTTAAACTGTCAAAAAGAGAAATCTATTTTTGATGGTTGTGACCTGTGGCTGTCCTACTTGACCCTTTTGTGGGGTTTTCTGTATATTTGCCCATGGCTGTGGTCTGTATTGCTTATGCTTGCAATTGCAAACTGGTTATGTTTTAAAATATAATTTGGAGTGGATAGGAGTGAAAAAACAAGAAATAAGGTATATACACACGTAGTGCAGACTTTAAATTATACTGAAATTTAAAGAAAACAAAAATAATTCATTTATACTTTAGAGAGAAATCACATAGAATCTCATGACCAGAAGAAATCTTAGCATGGGTATACCTTATCCTATAAATCACAGCCCCTTCCAGTTTAGTCTAGGGGTCACCCTGACCCTGGGAATGTGTTGCAGACGACTTTAGTGGTCAGGCTTATTTCATCAATTTTCTCTCTTATATTTGAATGAAGTATTCAATTTTCTTGAATTCTTATACCATTTAAAGTGTGGACTATATACCTGTTTGCTTTATTCCTTGCTAATTCCTCTCTTTTTACCTATTTTACTCCTCTTTTGCAACAGGGGTCTTATTTTCTGTATGGGAATTGGTCATTGATCTTTGCAGCCCGCAATTCAATAGATAATTCACTGAAAACATTCAGTAAATAATTGGGGAAATTGGTGAAAGGAAAATTCAATCATAGCTTTAAATGAGCTTTGGGGCTTGGTACCAGGGCCCAAAAACTAACAAACATTAATTATCAGAAGTGAATAGAAGACTCAAGCTTACTATTAATAAAATCCCTAAAACAACTTAAAAAGGAATACCCTAAAGGCAAAAGCATTGTTGGAGACAGTTCATTATAACCTGTATAAATCATAAAAATGAGTATTATAATACGAACAAAATGCCCATAAAGAATTTCAGGTATTGTTCAAATGAAAGAGAAAGTTTCGTAAAGAGTTCGATGTAGAATGTGATATAAAATATTCCAAAGACATTCTCGAGTTTATTCGAGCATAATCTAATTGTAGTCTTAACAATATGGCATACTTTCTTGGGAATTTTCTGGACTTAATTGAATAATTATTTAATTTCAGTGGCTTGGAAAGAAATTCAAAACCCGAGAAGTTCTTCTTTGTTATTCTTCATTGTCTGAGACTACAATTGATATTATTACGAATTCAGTACAATTATTTCTTTTGATATCTTTCCAAATTACATATTTACAGGAGAAAACGGAATGAATTATGACAAATAGTTTACTTTCATTATTGAATTTTCTGAATCATTTGTCTACATTATCGTCATAATTGTCGATTCTTGGACATTAATCAGTGAAGCCTTCAAAAGATACTTCCAGTCTTTCGTTTTATCTAAAATTGTGAGAAAAATTGAGGATTCAGGAATGTTTTTATGTAGTTTTAAGTTTACCATATTTTATTAAATTGCCATGAAAGGTCAAACTATTACAAAGTTAAAGATCCGGTGATTATACCATGATGGTAATTCTACAGAGGCCATTATTAAAGGTACATCATTAACTTTTCTCAAAGGTGTGATCCCATGTAGTACATACAGTAAAACCTTTCAAATGGAACACCCCTGTATGTGGAACACGTTTGTAAGTAGAAAATCATTCAGTCCTATCACCCATTAACTTTAGGTAGTGACATATAGAGCGAGATTACTTCATACAGTAAAACCTGTCATATGGAACACTTTCAATCCTGTTATTACTGATAGACTTAATGTTAACTGAACCTTGAGTGGAACACCTCATAAGTTGAACACTTTAAGCCATACTAGACCAGTGGTGTTCCACCTATACAGTTTTACTGTACTTTATACTTGTCCTTACACCCAGAGGATAGCAGTAAAATTCTACTTACAGTGCATATTAAGATTATTTGATTGTGCCAAGCAATATCTTCAAACCTTTCTTGGTTATCCAATAACAGATTATTTGGGAGCCTTTAATCATGAATTGTGGTTTTTTAAAAGGAGGATTTTGCAATTCTTCATCAATCAATCTTATAGATTTAGCTTGCAGCTTGGAAATAAGGCGGTTAACTTACACGATTGTGCATCAAACATTTGTATGTGGTGGTTCAAATGTTCACAAACAATTTGTATGTGGTGGTTCAAATGTGCACCAAACATTTGTATGTGGTGGTTCATATATGCACCAAACATTTGTATGTGGTGGTTCAAATGTGCCCCAAACATTTGTATGTGGTGGTTTTTTTATGTGATATTTTCTCACCATCATTTGTTAGATGCATATGTGTATGATATCAATAAAATAAATCAAAACATAACAATTCAGTTGTAATCATGCGATAAATCCAATCTCAGATATTTTTCAATATGTCATTTAATGACTCATGGATATAAGGTATATATACTCCTTCTTTCACTCTCAATTTGTTAATAAAAATCAATCTCAAAATTCTCTGACATATTAAAAGATGTAACACTTTCTCATCTATTGACATTTATGTGCCTGAAAACATAACATCCCTCTGAGGAACTAATTTCCTAGGGGTGACATTTTGCCATTAAATATTTAATTTCTATTAGGAAAACTGCCTTGAGACAATGGATACTCTTTATTTACTGGCATCCAAATTCAATTTCATCAGACTAAGCTGCCAAACTTAGAGTTATAAGAAAATTGGTTCCTAAGATACAATGGAGGTGCACCATATATCCCATGATATTGACAATCTTCTTTCAAGGATTTTGTGATTGGATTTAAAGGAGCAAAGGGGTTGCTTGATAAGTTTCCTTTTTTAGAATAAGCAGGCTGGAAGTAGATGGGAAATTGGGGTCATTACACTGATCTTAGGGTTCAGTTCATTTTATTTTAACCAAAACATCACTGGGAGAAAAAATCTGTAATTATTTTAGTGAATCATTTTTTGCACGCCATCAAATTGGGAAAAAATATTTACCATCAGACTATCTGCAGAACTTGAACCAGATATGTCAAGAAAACAATAATTTGGCCAATCTGACATCCTATCATTATAGTCTCTTATGAATACTTGAATGTGAATATCCCAGACAAAAACTTGTTAACATTATTGAATGCATGGCAATTTGACTCTTGGTTGGTTTTTGCATTCTCCCGTGTTCTTCGAAAGTAATTTATCACCATGATGCAGATTGTCACACAAAGATTAAACGTCTGAT